TCAGGATTTAATTCTAGGTTGTGGGTTTTCTTTAACAGAAGTTATAAGATGAGATTCTATCCTTTGAAGTTCCCAACAGATATCCTTGCTTCGGCACCTTACATATAGTAATCATCACGACATTTCATTGCATCTTGTAAAATCGCGTAGCATTTCCATTGATTTGGAGCATTATGCTATAAATCTCAAACATGCATTGAAGCATAAGCTATATTAAAGTCTTTTTCAAGCACTCTTTGTATCTTCGAAGAGATTCCATCAATCAGAAATCCCAAGTGGTATTCTCTGTAGGTTCTCCTCAAACCATATCTTCTTGTTGTTTCTATCTGCAAGCATTCTTGACCTTGTTTCAGTTTCTTACTAATCCACCATCCAATTCATATACCAAGCGTCTCTCTTTTTGAAAAGCTCTTATTGCGGTATTTGTGCCCGTGTTTTCCTTTCCAGTTAGAGTATGAGTCAGAATTGGTCTATAACCTTTCTTGTTTCTCAAGTATTTGAATATCCATACTTGGTGTGTGGTAATTAATATAATTTCCACTCTTAAAGAATTGCACTCTGCCTTTGGCCTCAGGGATATCGTAGTTCTTGCATAATTGCAATCGTTTAAAGTCCAATATGATTTGGCAACTCTCTTCTAGAGCCTTACAGTCGGTCTCTTTTCTATTTGCAAGGTCACCTTCCCAATAACCTTACCGATGCTAGCAACCTTTCTATCCTTGTTTTCCCAATCACCTGATTGGTGCCTTCCAGTAACTCTACTGTTGTCAGTAACCTTACTGTTCACCAATTTGTTTTGTTGTTACCCGGTAACCTTACCGATGTTTAAAACCTGAAAATACTTACCTTCCCTAATCACCAGATTGAAGCTTCCCGGTAACCCTACAGATGCTAGCAACCTTGCTATCCTTGTTTTCTCAATCACCTGATTTAAGCTTTCCGGTAACCCTACCAATGCTAGCAGCCTTGCTATCCTTGTTTCCCCAATCACCTGATTGAAGATTCCTGGTAACCCTACTGATGCTAGCAACCATGTTATCCTTGTTACCCCAATCACCCGATTGAAGCTTCCCAGTAACCCTACCGATGCTAGAAACCTTGTTATCCTTGTTATCCCAAATCACCTGATTGATGTCTTCCAGTAACCCCACTGATGTTATCAACCTTAATACTTCATTTGTTTTTCGATAACCCTATCGATGATAATGTCCTCACTATGGCTTTCTTTCCCAATCACCCAATTGTGATACCCGATAACCCTATCGATGTCATCCACTTTGATATCATTTTTTGCCCAATCACCTGATTGAAGCCTCCCGGTAACCCTATGTCTATCATTTGAAATGTTTGGCATTCCAACCACCGGGTCGGTACATAGTCCAATAACCATATCGAAGCCCAAACATTTTTTACCAGCGATTTTCTTTCAAAACTTGGTCATTACCCAATAACCTTATTGTTGAGTCTTGCATTCATGATATCTTTGTAAAGAGTCCTTTCCTCCAGTCTCTTTATTGTTATATGTATGCTACCGACCCCAAACATGTATTTTCGATATCTTTCTTCGTATATGTTCGCTACCAACTCCGAACATATATTCGTGATATCTTTGTAAAGAGTCCTTTCCTCTGGTCTCTTTCTTGTTATAAGATCTCAAACCAATTTCAAACATCAATTCTTGATATCCTCGATAGAGTCCTTTCATTCGATCTTTGTCGCATATGTTCTTCCCTCCGAATATGTGGTTATGGTATCTTGTTTAAAGGGTCCTTTCTTTCGGTCTCTTTATTGATTTTCTGCTACTAGCTCCAGACATATAGTGGTGATATCTTTGGTTATATGTCCTTTCTTCCGGATGTATATTCCTGATATCTTTGTGTTAGAGTCCTTTCCGCTGGCCTCTCTCCTTGTATACATCCTTTCCTTCGGACGTGTATTCCCGATATCTCCAACAGATTCCTTTCCTCTTGCCTCCTTCGTATGTGTTCGCTACTAACTCCGAGCATATAGTTGTGATATCTTTGGTTAGAGTCCTTTTCTCTGACCTCTCTACTGTTTTAGGTCTGCTGCCAAATCCAGACATGTATCCTCGATATCTTTGATTGAGTCTGTTGTGTTAGGTCTCTCCCATCTTTGATATCTTTGGTTGAAATTGTTGTGTTATATTTCTTCCTTCCCTTGATATCTTTGGTTTAAATCTCTGAATTAGATTTCTTCCTCCCTTTAAATATCTGGTCGAGATCACTTTGTTAAATAGCTTCCATCTTGATATCTTCGGTTGAGTCCACTATATTAGATCTCTTCCTTCTTTGATATCTTTAGTTGAAATCATTGTGTTAGATTTCTTCCTTCTTTGATATCTGGTCGAGATCACTTTGTTAGATCTCTTTCATCTTTGATATCTTTAGTTGAAGTCGCAGTGTTAGATTTCTTCTCTCCTTATCTTTAGTCTAAATTGATGTGTTAGATTTCTTCCTTCTTCCGTATTTATGGCCGAGGTCGCTTTGTTAGATCTCTTCCCTCTTCGATGTCTTCAATTGAGTCCACTTTGTTAGATCTCTTTTTTATCTTTGTTACCCTTGTTCGAAATTGTTGTGTTAGATTTCTTCCCTTCTTATCTTTAGTCGAAATCGATGTGTTAGATTTCCTCCTCCTCGATATCTAGTCAAGATCGCTTTGTTAGATCCCTTCCATTTCTGATAGTTTCATTTGAGATCGCTTTGTTAGGTCTCGTCCATCTCTGTTATCTTTGGGTGAAATCACTATGAGATCCCATCTTTTCCCGACATCTTCAATTGAGTCCTCTTTGTTAGGTATCTTTCTTGTTAGATATCTTTCTAAGAGTTTGCTGTAGTGGATCTATTTCTTGAGTATATGATATTTGTCTTGTATGGCTAACCTTGACCTGACATCCAAGAGATTTACCCAGATAACCACTGTAACCCAAAAAAAAGAAAAAAAAATATAGAAAGCCAAAAAATATAATAATATCTGACTGGCTTCGGAGTGAATATTTTTGGGTTCTTTTAGTATTTAATCTTATTCCACCTTGAAAGTTCTAAAGTTTGGCGCCAATCTCACCTTCAGGTTTAAGACGATTAACTAGGGGAAATTGTTGCACCCCAAAATTCTCCCTCCTCATTTATGTTATCTGGTTTAGGTTTTTTCATTCATCTGCATACATCCCATTAGGTCATTAACATAACATTGCATTCAATAAAGCACATGAGGTTTAAATCTCAGTGGTCGTGCAATATTAGGGTTTTTACAATGGTTAAGGCGTTTGTATCCAATAAAGTTGGTTTCTTTCAAGCAATGAGCAGTGGAATTAGGGTTGTGGTCTGTGGTCATTAAGAATTTCTTCTTCGTTAAGCTATAAGTCCATTATCCACCCAGTCTCATCAGTTCCAGAGATTAGGGTTTATTTCCTAATATATCTCATAAAATTAGGGTTTTATCACATGGATGTCTTTCTAAGCTTCCAGTTTCATATGAGTCAAAGGATTTCCTCAAGGGAATAAATTTTGTGGTGAGGTTGTTAGTTTTCAATTTAATATGGCTTGTGGTTTGAATTTCTAAAAGGGTAAGTCATAGTACAAGACGACATATGGATTTATCATCATTTTGTACTTTTTTCTCATTATGCAAGTTTGGTTTGAATTGGAAGTGATATGGATTCACTCCATGAATTCGAAATGATTTACATGTAGTCAAATGAATCAACACTGGTTAAGGCTTGCAAGATCAAAGAGTCTAATCTCCAGCATCATTCATCATGTTTCAACTTTATTTCAAGACTAAATGACTCAATTTTGACTTAAAGTTGTTCAAGCATTCAATAGCACGAAGTCATTCAAAACACGTTTGAAATTCAAGCAAGTTCACAAGTCCATTCATTCATTTAAAGATTCCATCCATGGACCTAATTCCATTCAAAATGTGCAAGTTCTATTCTAATTTTAAATCAAGACATTTTATGATCAATTTTCTTTACAAGTCATATTCAATCCAAAGAAAGAAGACAAAGGCCATATTCATTTACACTTGCAACCATGACATTCATATTACATTCCAAAGAAAAACTACATAAATGAAAACCTAAGACTAAGTTCCATTGATCACCTTTGTGTACCATGCCTACGGAAACCCGTGTCAAACCAATCTTCCAACACACTTCAAGGTCCCTTCCATTTTCTTTCTTCATGGCCAAAGGTCTTGAACACAAAAAATCTGCACCATTATCAAGCTCACATCATTACATTGCTAAAGTAGACTCGCATCAGTACCTTACCAACTTCCACTCGGGCATGAGCTTAACATTAACATAACTGCTACCATTGTGAAGCTGATGAAAATCTCACAAATCAAGATCAATCGGTCATTGCATAAGGAATCAAAAATACATCCAGGATTTAGAAAAATGCAGAAAATATGAAACCAATAATTTTGCAACCAAATTTGGGAAACTCTGTCTCGTTGTCTAATTCACTCAGTCAAGTACATAACATAAATGGTTTAGAAAAGAAATTTTAAAAAGAGCTCCAGTTTGGATTCTAATTGGCTAACTAGTCCATATCTAACAGAATAACGCAACTGCCATAACAGAAATTTGAGGATTCAACCGACTCTCAATCTAATTAATTCTAACCACTCATTCTCCTAACAGAAATCGAGATCTAACAGCCGTGATTTCTTTCAAATCCTAACTAAATTTCAAACTAATAGCTAATAGATTCAAAGGCTTTAACTGTTTGCTAACAGAATAAAAACATAATTACCACTCAATCATCTCATTCTTCAACACCCTGAAGAATCACAAAAAACACTCTCTCTTCTCCTCTCTTCTTTATCTTCATTCTTCAATCATTCAGAAGAATCACTGCAAAAAAAAACTCAAAAACTCTCTCCTCTCCGCTCCTTCTCCATAACCTTCACTTTTCTACGAACCTGGCACCTTCAAGTTTCTGCAACAAACTTTATCGCCACATCTTCAATCTTCTTCAAGCTCCATCATCTTCTGAATCAAGAACAACTAGGCATTTACAACTCCACTCAATTTCAACCATCGGATCTTCATCAATCTTCATCATATCACAGCAATGTGAGTACCAAATGCATGCGGAAAGGAGAAGGAGAAGTTTGAATTGGAGATGGAGTGAAGCCAATGATGCATACCTGAATCCCTAGGTACTTATCTTTGGTTCTTGTTGCAACCACTATCACAAGTGAAGATATGTTGAACAATCGTGAGGTATAAAATTGACTGAAATTGAGAGTTGATGAGGATGAAGAATGCTGACAGATTGAGACGGAGAGGTTGAAGAGTATCGTGAAGGAGATAGAGGTCGAGTGTTTATACGATGGATTCGCGGCCGACGAAGCTTGGCATGACGGTATTACGTCTGAGTTTGTCGAAGACGGACGTGAGTCCGAGATAAAGCATAGTGTACCTTGAACCGAAGACCATAGAAGATGGATCGAATGTGTTGTACCCCAAAATTTGCCCTCCCATTTCATCAATATTTTCTCACCACAAGACCCTTGGAGCTCAAGATCAAGCTAGGGTTTGCCCTGTTCAAGACTTCTCCTTGCACTGTTGACCCAAATTAGGGTTTGAGTTTGCACAAAGATGTTTTGACCTAAAAGGCCCAAAGTGACTTTCATGCTTCATGTTGGACTCACAAGTTTATCCATGCCAAGTTTCAAGCCTTGATTCCAATCTTTGCCCAGTCAATTGGACAGTTGACCTAGAAATCAACTGTATTGGGGAAAAAGTCAACTGTGGTCAATTGACAGTCAAACCTCATGAAATTTGACCCTCATTAACATTATGAACTCATATGGACCATTTGATCAAGTTTAGATCACAATTCCACAAGAAATTTGATCAGATCACCAAAAGGGCAAAATGGTCATTTTTAGGGTTTTGACTGCACAAAGGCAATTTTTGACTGTTTGACCTAGCCAATGTCAAACCAAACACACATGTGGACTCAAGGACTCAATGGCATTGTCTTGACATGTTCAACAAATTCAAAAGATCCCAAATGCACAAGATTGACAGATGAATTTTCCAGTCAACTGAGCCAAATTTGACTGTATACTAAAAAGTCAAACTTTGACTTTTTGGTCAAAATCAAGTGTCAAAATTCATTTTTCATCAATACATGTCAAATTATGAAACTTGTTCATCAAGAAATCAAAAATCACAAATTAGGGTTTGAAATGAAGAAATTTCATAACTTAGAATTTTTCTAAGTTATGAAAATTCCTAATTTTTTCCTAACTTTGTCCCATTTTTTCGTCAAGATACATTTGGATTCAAGGAAAACTCAAAACATGAAAGTTGTAGTCCATTAAAAAATCTACAACTTTTATTCATAAAGTTTCCTCAAAAGAAGCTTGTAGCTCAAGTTATGATTTTTGGAATAGGGGTGCAAAACATTCTTAACTTAGAAATATTTTGACCTATTTTAGGCAGGATTTTTGCCTAACTTCATGGCCACTTTTCACATGCTTCCACTTGGAATCTCAACTTTCATTACAAATATGGATTGTGGTACACATTCCAAGCTTTCCAAATTGTCCAAGAACTTCCCAAACACCCTTGTGGTTAGGGAGAATCGAATTTGTGAAGATGGGCAAAAGTCACTTTGTTCATAAGCCATGTACATGTTCATAACTTGTGCATTTTTGAAATCAGCATGTGCAAGCTAGTTACAGGCCTCTAGTATCATTTACACTCAATAATTAAATGCCAATCCATTGTGTTCTAGCATTATTTGGTGCATTTGGTCATTACATGAAGAATTAAGCCATAAATGGAAAAAGCAAGTTATCCATTCTTGTAAAGCATGACTTTATGTCAAACACAAATCCAAGAAGTACAATGCAAATCTATGAGGCACAAATTATTGAACTAATCCCACTGATCAAGACTAACTTTGAAGCATGTTTAAGGGGCCTGCATAAGCTTGTAAACCAACTTGACAACTTTTGCTTACATTAGAAGAAACTTGCATTTTGAAACACCAACTCTGATTCCTGCAAGCAAGAACTAAAACAACTTTCTCCACACTTTCCATACTCCCTAACAGACCTAAAACACGACCAAAGAACCCTTGATCCCTCCTCATACAGAAAATCACCATCTTGCTGCACAAAACATGGCATTCTGCACTTTGACTTGGCCAGCTCATTTCCATCGTGCATTTTCATCCAAACCACTTCATACACACTCCCTACCACTTATACAAATTATCCCAAGCATTGGACACGAACTGTAACATCCCTAACATCATTTGCCATTTTCACTTTTCTCTCTTGCAGGTTGACTTCTGTAGCTTGATATAGCAAGATTCAAAGCACACCAAGCATTGGAGAAGCATCCCTGAACTTCAAGCAAGATGTACAAGTCCTCACATTGCATTGAAAGTACCTCCATTGTCATACACGATTCAAGCTGAACAGGTAAGTTTTTGAACTTCTATCTCTCTATCCAGGCATAGTTAGGTTTAAGTTTGTGAAGAAAACATGTTCTAATCATAGCCCTGAAGCCATCCATATAGTTACTTTTCATTTATATTGTGTGTGCTAAGAGAATTTTGAACCTGAACATCTGAAAAAAACTAGGTCAGGAATTGGGGGAGAAGAAATTCTCTCTCATTTCTGAGAGTTAGATTAATTTTTTTATATGTTTAGAATCGTGGCTTCAAGCTCTACAGGTTTCATGTTTTAAGTTTTTGTTAAAAATCAAGGAATCAGAAGTCAGCAGGGACAAGGCAAAACGCGCGCATTTTTGTGTTTGAAGGTGCTAGAGGTTGAAGACAACCACCTTTGGGTTGGGCCTGGTCCTTTTTTCTGTTTGCACCCCATTTTTCCACATACACCCCCTTGGCCCATTGTGCTTTATTTTTATCATTTTTGATTTTTTTCTTTTTATTTCTGACTTGTTATTTTTTTCCAAAATATAAAAAAATATTAAAAACATTTTTTCAACCATTTTTGCATTTTATTTGAATTTTATTTGTTTTATTTGAGTTTATACATATAAATAACATATATATCCTTTTATTTAAAATACTAAAAAATACAAAATTCATTTTATTTTCTGATTTTATTTTATTTTATCTCTTGAAAACATTTCCTAAAAAATATACTTTTTTTTTTGTAAATAATTAATATTTTATTTTTGTACATATTTAATATATTTAGTAAATAATATAAATACTTATCTATATTTATTAGAATATTTAGGGAAAAAACATAAAAATAATACATTTTTATTTTTATTAATATTTAACCTCAAAAATACTTTTTTTTACAATATACTTTCTTTTTATTTATTTTTTGTACATAATTAATAAACATTGTATATATTAAATAATAAACACCTTTTATTTGCAAAATTAGGGTTTTGCCCTAAACATGAAAAATACCCAAAAATTATCCTTTTTATTTTTGTTTATTTGTCACGTGAAAAACCCTTTTACATACATATAAAAATCATTTTTTGCATCTTGCATATTTTATTTTATTTTATTTTAATATTGTACATTAAATAATTTGTATATTCAATTTGGATGTAATAGTTTAGATTTAATTTTTCTTGCTAAATATCCCCATTTGAACATTTGTACTCCCCATACCATAATTATGTTGTAATAGTTTAGGAATTTAAATTTCGCATTTAAAAGCTTTCTAAATATGTCATGATAGACTTAGGGTTTGTATGCAAAAATTAACCAAAACAAATAGCTTGACCTAATTCGAAGATAACAAAGCATGAAAATGGACAACATCAATCACACTTGCACCCCTAGGGTTACTCCACTTGTTGCCTTCAATAATGGGCCATATTGCATGTTAGGTGTCTTTGGCAAAACAAAACAATATCAAATGATCATAGTCCCTCGATGACGCTTTCAAAAGTTGCCTAAAAATGATCAAGTCCATTAAAGGAAAAATTGCCCAAAGACACTTGGCATCATTGCAATCATGGTCTAAACGATGACCCGCGCTCGTCCCGTTACACATCCTAACACAAGATTGTACACCAAATACAATGGTGGAACAAAATTGTTAAAAGGGTTAAAAACATAGGAAAAATCTTTGAGAAATTTAGGGTAGATAGCTCTTGGTTACTTGCCAACTTGCAAAACAAAAACACTTGCCTATTTTTCAAAACCACACTTCACTACACACTTTCAAAACAACTTTCAAAAACATTGAAAACTTTTCAAAAGATATACACCTTTGTATACATCCCAACATGGATCATTACAAAAGTTTGCCACCACAAATGGCCTCTTTTCAAAACATTTTCAAACCCACACACAAAGCACCATTTCAAACAATTGAAAGCACCATTTCAAACAATTGAAAATCAAGGCAAGTTGATCTAAGCAAGTAACTAAGAGCCCATGGATAACCATGGATAGAAAGGGTGCTAACACCTTCCCTTTCTATAATCTACTCCCCGAACCCAAGAAAACATCTCAAAGGTTTTTGTTGTGCTTTTTAACCTTTCCTTAGGATAAAATAAAAAGTCGGTGGCGACTCTTGCTCAACCGAAACATTTGCGAAAACAAACGCAAAACCTCAAGTCAGTTCTCCCACCGTATCACAGAATGAGAAGTTGGACGCTGCAGTTGTGAGTTAGAGAAGACGAAGAGAACTTTGTTCTCATGAGAACTGAAATGACACACACATTTCCAACCCTAATCCCTTTTCAAACTCTTTATTATTTACGTATCATCTTATCATTCCTTTAATTTGGTAAATTGTATAATAATAATCAAAACATGGAAAATAGGTTGTATTATTGTTGAACCAAATCCTTCTCTCTAAGCCCATTCTTTTTTTTTGGCATCAGGTTAGCAATCAAACAAAAACAGTATTGTGGACTCAAAAGATGCATGGGCCTAGGGCCCAGATCAATGCTACACCCATCTTGAGTGTGTTTTTGCAACAAAAATAACACCATATATCATTTCTACTGGGCCTAGCGCCCTGCTATATCATACCCCCTGAATTATTGGCTTGCACCCCCTGAGATCATTCTATTAGTAATTTCCTTTAAATAATTTTGTGAATTATTTAGATTTGTTTGAAATCTTTCTTCATATGATAAAAAATAATAAGATCAATAAAATTGTTAGATTTTTTTATTTGATTTTAGGAATTAAATCAGGATTATTCGATTACTTGAGATTTGTAATTCACCTTTGCTTGTTGAAATCTGAGTCTTATGCAGGTTTATTGTGTGATATTCTTGAGACTCTGGTTGTGATTTATTTTCACATCAATGATGCTTCGACGCTTATCCTGAACATTTGATTCCTAGCTAATCTCTTGGTATCGGTGAAGCTCGCTTGAAGTTTTCCGGGTTTCTCTGCTTTTCCTACTGTGCTATGAACTTTTGTTCGTTCGGTATCATTCTGACTCCAGTTTATCTTTCCAGCACTTTATTGCTTTCTAGATATCATGAGAAGTAGGAAATAAAGAACGTACGCTCG